GTGGTTTGTAAGTAACCTCAAGAAATCTCGTAATAATTTAGTTGATGGATATTCATGCTTATTTGACCTCAGATAAACTCCTCATGGTGAATGCCCCTTCTTCTTTTGACGCGCCATCTGGGAATCACATTTTTCATCTTCTAGAAATGTGACTGGAATTTGAGATCAAAAGTGCATATCGAGACTTTGATTCAGAACCTTACTTGTCATTAAATGACTTCGGCTTTCAGCACTCACTGAGTGCAGTGCCTTTCGGATGAGTGATACTACATGGGTGAATGTTGGCGGGCAAAGGAAACCGAATTTCCTTTTTTTGAGATCGCAAATTCCAAGTAGCTTCTCCTCAGCTACCAGATAATGTACTCCTAATCACCCGAAAGGCCTTCTCGGATGGGGAAAAAGAAGTGCAGTGCTTGCTTTGGATGTTTAACACGAGTGGGGTGTGTTTTCGTCAATCCGACCTAGAGAGTGCGTAGGCCTAACTCACCTAGAGCTAGGGCTAGGGCTTAATGCAGGGTTACTGTTTGGACCAGTATTAGTGTCAGGGTCAGATTTCGGAGACGGTGGTAATAACTCTTCCTGTAACTTAACACAGGGCCACTTGTATTAAGAGGGTTTCCTATATCCTTTTTGTCGGTATATAACTGGGGCTTTCGTAAAATGGGCATGACGCAGTTAGGGGTTATGGGGTTCAACACGGCAGATGGAGTTTTAATCATCCAAGTTCAGTTTCATGTCTTCTCGTCCTGCCAAACTTCCTGGTCCCATAATTCTTCAGAATAACCCACTCTCTGAATGCTTCACCATAAAGGACCTAGGTTTAAGTTATAGAAATAAACTTACTTTATCACCTCATGCAGATAGAATCTCTGCCAAAGCCGCGCAGATATGTGGATTCATATCGCATAATTTTTCCTTCCGGAAATGAAGCTAAGGTTTTATCAAATGTTTGTTCTTCCAGCCCTCGAATACTGCTTTCCTTTCTTTGGTTTAATGGACGACTGTTACCGCTATAAGATCGAAAATGTTCAGAGGGTTTTCACCCAAAAACTTTTCTCTCAAGCTTCGTTCGGTGTTTCTTATACTCAGAGATGTCAGCTGGCGAACATTAAGTTTTTTTTGGTTTAGAAGACTCGAAGCTGACCTTTGCTTCAGTTTTCGCATCAAATCTAGCTCCAATCTTCGGCTAATTGACACTCTCATTCCGAGAGATCGGTCTTATGCCACGCGCAACTCCTCCATGGTGATTCCGCCACCGCCTCATTGCCCTACATATAAGCGCTCCCTCTTTTTTGCTTCCAAATATGCCTTCCTTTGGAATAATCTTCCGCCAGAAATTAGGTCACCGCCTTAGTTACTGGTATTCAAGTCCAAATTGCGCAAACACCTTACACCGGAGAGCGTAAAGGCACTTTTAACGGCCTCATTCCCGAACACTCAGCTTCTTGACTTCGAGAAGGGTCCTCCTGAGATTTTGTGGTAGATCAAGTGGTAACCCTCAATTATATCATTAGAAACCCTGTTTTGAATTGTCCTCTAAATCCACTTCTCTCATTCCTCCTCAATAGCGTCGATTTTCGCGGTTCTTGATGTCATCTCCCGCATTTCGACCTCAAGCGGTCTGTCGACGCTCACGGCAGAACCCTCAGTATTCGCCGTCTACTAGTAGTTTAGTCGTACCTCCCTCCCCCACTCCTCGGCTGGGCTCGAAGCGGACTGTGACCGATTGCGTCTGGGTTCCTCTCGTCTGGCCTCTTTGATGCGAATAGTCGCCTCCAGCGTATCAATCCTGCCCTGACGATGTCATTTCTGAATCCAGTATACAATACCACATGCAGGCCAGTCCTGTCCGACCCGCATACGTACCCCTCAAGGCTGGCATTTATTTCTGCCCTGACGATGTCCGATTATTATCCGTTATATACCGCAACATGCAGGCCAGTCCTGCCCACATTTTTCTGTTATCATTTTTTAGCGAGGGTTTTTTTTCCTGTCAAATTAGTCCAATCATCTTTAAGTTTTTTAACTGAAGTTTTTTTACCTCTCGCTAATCATTTTTCTTAACGGACTACAAATTCAGAAACTATGAATTGCATTTTGTACAGATTCTGTCTACCTCGTCTAAAATTCGTATGCAAATTTATTTTTGCGTGCTTTGATGGGACCCCGACGAGACTTTAATAAAAAATTATTATTATTCCGCAGC